ACATCAGCTCTTGTTGGATAAACTTGGAAGAGTGGCATAAACTTGGTGACTCCTGAGGTGAAGGGGATGGGAGGAGTCACAGGTGACTTCAATGTTTCCATTATAGGTTATTGAGAAAAACTTCGTTAATAGAAAAATAGAGAAAATGGAAAGGGGGAGTAAATTGAGTAGAGAAGATGAGTTTTACTTAAAATATTTCAAGTACTAAATTATGCAGGTAAAAAGCAAAGAGATGATTAGAAGTGGGACTGGCACTTTAATAATATGCAGCAGTAATAAAGACACCCCCACCCCCACTCCTGCAAAATCACTACTAATAAGTACATTACTAGAAGCCTAGGTGGAAGCATGAAGAACTCAAAGTGAGGCTAATGAAAAGTGTCCTTGTGTTCGTCCTTGAGACAGTAACTTCAGGAAGAGCAGAGACCATTAGACCATATAAAGTACCATAAAGAAATGTGAGATAAACTCATATATTAGTAAATGTCACAAATCTGATTATATTGGCTTACAAGAGGTGGTTTTAAATAAATAAAAAGTTATACACACAGGAGACATAATAGTATAGTGGTTAAGTGCAAGCTGTGCCATTTGACAGGCTAGATTTATATCCTATATCTGCCACTGAATAGCTCTGTGACACTGAACAATTTACTGAAACTCAGATGTAAATTTGGGGTGATTTTAAATGCTTACCTGATAGAGATCTTATGAAAAGAACATGGACTAGTACCAATGAAGCACTTAATGCAGTCTCTTAGTCAGCTCAGTCTACTATGACAAAATACTATAGACTGGGATGTTTAAAGTAACAGAAATGTATTTTCTCACTGCTCTGGAGGCTAGACTGTTCTGGAGTGCCAGTAGGGTTGGATTCTGTTGGAGAACCCCTTCCTAGCTTGCAGGCAGCTGCCTCCTCACATGGCAGAGAGAAAGAGAACATGCTCATTGGTTGCTCTTCTTATAAGGACCCTAACCCATCCTGAGGGCCTCACCCTCATGATCTCATAGATCCCATCCCAAATACCCATCTCCCAAAGACCCCCATCCCAAACCTCATCACATTCGCAATTCAGGCTTAAACATAATTTTGAGGAGACATAATTCAGTCCAGAGCACATAGTCTCTCCATTTAGTAAAAGTCAATAAATTGTATTATTATTAGTATTTTTCTTCTGTACAATATTTTTCTCTAGCAATTTCACAGAGCTAAGAATCTCAACACTTCAGAGCGAATGAAAGCATGTGATTCTAAGAAAAAAATTCATCCAAAAATTAGATTGTCTGAAAACGTAGCTCAAATAAATCTCCCCAGGTCACAGTAGAGAAAAATATAAGAGATTAGTGCCTTGGTTGGCAAACTGTGGCTTGCGAGCCACATGCGGGGTTTTGGCCCCTTGAGTGTGACTATTCCACAAAATACCATGGCCTGATCAAGTCTATTTTGAAGTGGCACTAGAAGTTTAAGTTTTAAAAAGTTGGCACTCAAAAGAAATTTTAATCATTGTACTGTTGATATTTGGCTCTGTTGACTAGTGAGTTTGCTGACTACTGGGTTAGTTCATTGGTAAAGTATGTGTAAATTCATGCTTTCTTGAGTGTTCCAGGTTTATATGTTTCCCATACCCTGCTTGAATTGGCATTTGTTGCACCTGGGAAATTCTAGAAAACTATTAAAATAGTATTTAAGGGTGTTGTGTGGTTCTAGAACACTGCATTTTATATACTGTAAATTGCTTCAAATGGGGACATATTTTAAATTCTGGATAACTAGCTGTTATTGGATACCACACAGAAGGTTCGGAAAATAAAACTGGTGTTTCAAATCAACCTCAGAAGCACAAGGCAAATTTTCTTTAGCAGGAGTTCCCTTGATGCCTGAAAGTGTCAGTTTCTCTGTTGCCATTTTTCCTTCCTCCCATATTTCTCCATTTCTTTGGAGGAGGCAAAAAAGCAGGCATGGGCAGGGTTTCCTTTTATGCTTTAAGTCTCAATCAGTGACGCTAGAGAAGAAACATTTTTATGGAGATTCTTTTTCTAAACTGAAATAGCTGGTTCAAATAGTCACATGTAATTGGCGAGAGCTCTCCCTTGTGAAGTCAGCAACCAGGGTGCAAGGCATCCGCTATCTCATGCACGAGAAAGCAGCAGGGAGAATTGAATTGGATGTCTGCGTCCTTTCATCGAATAATTCAGCTCAGGAAATCTTTTGGTCCATGGTTTTACTTTCATAGGAAATTCCCCTTTGTCATATTGAAGATACCCATATAACCCATGGAACACTGGATAGAGACAAATCAATAATTATTATAAAAATTAACAGTTGAATTGAAATTTAAATAATTAGTAAGTAGTTATCTAGCTGATAATAGGTTTTTTTCCCCCCAAAATCAACTTGACTCATCTTAGGGGTTTGGGTTGTAAGCACTGGAAACCAATTTTATCTTGGCTCTCTTAAGTAAAATAAATCATAAATATAAATAAGTACAGTTTTTTGGAAGAATCTTGAGGCCTCCCAGGACCTATTGGTAGCTGGAAGACCAATTCTGAAACTTGGACCAGATCTCTAAGCCATGAAACAAGAAGCTCAGCTTTCAGCAGTTTAATCGAAATAGAACTGCATACAAGACCTACCACTCACTGCCTTGTAAACACTAGTAAAAACAGGCCATCCTTTTGTTTTAAATCACTTCCTCCAGATTCCTGGGAAGGTGCTTCCAAAGGGTTCATCCCCATTACCTGGCAACCAAGGCATGGAGAATGCAGGATAAGGCTATGTTATCCTCCCTAGAATGTAGGTGCAGTGAGCTCATCAAAACCAGGAAGGGGATATGGATTCTATGCAGCCAAATAATGAAGATTACTACAGCTTAATTCAGTAATTGGGAATGATATAATAATACCGTATTTTCTGGTGTATAAGACGACCCCCTAATTTTACAGTTAAAACATAGGTTTAGGCTTATATTCGCTGTATAAGACTACCCTCCACTTCAAAGAAAAGACTCACTTTGCCATCAAGATCTGCAGGTAATTTTTGCAATTTTGGTCTTTTGCCCCCGATTTTCGGTTGACTTTTTTTCGTTTCAAAAGTCATCTTATACACCGGAAAATACGGTAAGCAGTTACTTGCTTGCTAGGCTTTATTCTTACCCCCACTTTCCCAGCACTAGTTCATTGTATGCTACCATCAATCTTATGAAATGGCTAGGGTCCTTTAAAAAAAAAAAAGCCCAAAACTGGTTTGGCTCAGTGGATAACTGAAAGGTTCCAGGTTTGATTCCGGTCAAGGGCATGTACCTTGGTTGAGGACACATCCCCAGTAGGGGGTGTGCAAGAGGCAGCTGAGCTATGATTCTCTCTCATCGATGTTTCTTACTCTCTATCCCTCTCTCTTCCTCTCTATAAAAACTCAATAAAATATATTTAAAAAAGAAAAAATGCTTAGTGAGGTTAAATAACTTGCTCAAGATTACACAGCTAGTAAGTGACCAAGCAGTCTCAAACCTCAGGCTGTACAACTCAAATAAGCTAAGCTAACCATGTGTACACACATGGGTCTGACTTCTGTGCTGCCATTAGACAGTTTTATCGATTATTAAATACACTAGGTGCTTAACAAATATTGGCTCAAAACTCTGCCTAGAATAACTCCGGCTTATAGTTGGTGCTCAATAAAAATTTGTTTCATGAATAAAGGAATGTACTCTATATTATATTTACTAAAAAGACCAGGTGTTCAGTGACAGGAATCCCAACCCCTCTGGAGTCCCTCCTGACCCCCCACTACCCCAAATGCAGCTCTGAGCCTGTGCTGAGTTGGTGATGCCAGGAATCAAAGGGATCCAGTTCCAATTTATAATAAAATCAATGCACATTCACAATGGTAAGGTGAGCTGAGTATTCAAGTAGTTTCTTGTCTTTTTTTACTTCTTTTTAAACTTGATAAGATCTTAGAAATTGTTTTTAAATGGGAGATTGTATACAGATCTCTCTGTCTTTGTGAATCATTTCATTTTTTAACTTCGTGGCTTTCCTCTGTGATTAAAAAAATAAAAATAAATAAATAAATAAATAAATAAATAAATCCTGGAGACTATGCAGGGAAGGGAAGTATTTCAGACTCAGGACAGAAACTTCTGCAGATGGGGCCACAGTTAATATAACCAAGGGCAGGTCTCACCTTGACTTACAGCAACAGTTAGACCTAAGAAATGGGAATTATTTTCAAAGGACAGGAATGTCTCAGTTCTGAATTGCTTCATTCTAGAATAAAGATGAATTTGCTCTCAGATTTCTTTGGAGAACTGGTATAACCTTCTCTAAAATCTATAGATTATAAAATAGCAGTATTAATTTGTTATAATTATCAACATTTCAAGATTTCCTCTTGCTCTTTCATTCACGTGCTCTCTCTTGATCCTCAGATCTATTTATAGCTGATATTTTACAGATAAGCAAACTAAGGCTTCAATGAGGTTGACTGGGTTTCCTAGCCAAGGACATGTAACTGACAAAAAAAGAGCAAAAATTTGAATCTAAGACTCTAAAATTGTCTTTTTTAATTATTATTATATTGTGCTTCCTTCTATAAATGCAAAACAAATACATGGTATAGTAGCTAAAACCAGACCAGTAATTTTTTTAATAAAAATTAATAGTTGAATTGGAGCTCAAATAATTAGTAAGTTGTCCAGCTGATAACTTTGAGCCACCATTGAACCTAATATGGACCTTTGCAGGAAAAATCAGTCCCTCACTGAGTAGTCTCAAGGAGGTTTAGTTTGGTTTCCATGTTATTGGGTTTTGACTTTAACACAGGTACTAAATACCAGTGCACGAGAAAAGACCTTGGTTGTGTTGTACCCTGTTGTGTTGTCCGGTGCTCAGGTGATTGAAGTTATGTTGGGACTGAGCCTAGGAGATAAGAAAGTTAATGTTTCAAAGAATGATTTCTTCTGTTATACCTCCCAATATTCTCAGTGCTAATACAGTACCAGAGTGTTTGAGAAGTGTTCCACCCAGATACTAGCGATGTATTTTCAATCTGTTTTTCCTTAGAAAAGTTACCTAATGCCTCAGTTTCCTTGTATAACAAATGAGATTGTCCTACTGGTTTGGCTCAGTGGTTGAGCATAGAACCAGGAAATCGTGGTTCTATTCCCAGACAGTGCACATGCCCAGGATGCTGCTCCATCCCCAGTAGAGAGCGTGCAGGAGGCAGCCCATCAATGATTCTCTCTCATCATTGATGTTTCTCTCTCTCCCTCTCCCTTCTTCTCTAAAATCAATAAAAATATAAACATATTTTAAAATGAGGTTAATGATAGGGCTTTTATAATGACTAAATTATAATAATAATGATAATTTCTCAGTAAATAGTACCCAGTACTATTAATTAAAATATTTTTATATGTTCATTGAGTGGCCAGATTATTATGATCTCTGAACACATAATATTCTGGCCACTAAGTGTATATCCTATATAATAAAATGCTAATATGCAAATTGTCCCCTCTACCAGGAGTTCGACCAGCAGACCCTCTCCCTGGCCAGGCTGGCCAGACCCCACCCATGCACGAATTCATGCCCCAGGCCTCTAATATAATTATATCTATATACACTGAGAGGCCAGATTATTATGCGTTTAGAGATCATAATAATCTGACTATTCAGTATATATTTCATTTCCTTCTCAAGTGCTGCCCACAGAAGTTAATAAAGATGATTATTCTCAATTTTAAGTGACAGAAAATGACATTTGCAAAGTGACTTTATGTTTATAAAAAGTTAGGGTAGATACCGGCACAGAAAGGTCAATCTATAGACCTTTACATTGAGTTTAAAATTCCCCTTTACTACATTTTAACTTTATGTAACTGGCATTTTTATTTTAACTCTCTGAGCCCAAATTTTCTCATATCAACAAAAGCAGAATATAATGCTTAGTTTATATGTTTGCCCTGAGGATTAAATGAGGCAATGAATATAAATCAACTAGCATCTAGCATCTGTGGGGTAATTTCTTCTCCCATCTCTTATCCTTTAATGATTACTTTTAAAATATTTCAGAATAAAATAGTTTATAGAAAATAACCATTGTCATGGTTGCAAGTGGTATCATTATGATTGTAAAGTAATATCTATAATAAAGAAACCAGTCCTAATGGTGCAGTAACTAGCATCCTCAGAAAAGGGAGCTTCATAAGGATATTTTTTATAAAAATTATCATAACATTTTGTACAAATACCACTACACTAATCAAATATCTTGTATTACACGTGATAATTAATCTTCCATGTATACAATTTGTGAACTCTGCATTTTGTGCTTTAATTCTTTGCGGGAAATTTATAGGCCGCAATGTAATTCATTTTTTCAATTTTCTACTTCATTTCAATTATGGTGCTTATTATATGAGATGGGGTTTTCATTTATCATGCTTGTAATTTTTAATTAGAAGTTAAATTTTTAGCATCCCTTATTTTCAGAAGCATAAACATTACATAAGTAAAAAAAAAAAAAACAGAGTAGTTCTCACATATTCACAGGTGCAAAAAGAACTTTTATAAATGAATTAGACTCATCTAGTGATCTCTCATACATAAATTGTACTAGGTGTACAACCACAGCAGCACAAGTCTCTAGTTACTTAGTACCTCTACATATCTTGACTTCTGTACATATTATCTCCAAGTCTCACTACTCTACAAGCAGTTATTAATTTCCTTATTTTCCAAATAAGGAAGCCCTGGGGGGAAAAAAAGAATTACTCAATCCTACCTGGGAAACTGTAGCACGACTTCACGGTAATGTACCATTAAACTGTGAGGATAGACAAAGCCATGCAGGAAAGTTCTGGTCTAGGAATCTGGTCTGAGTTTAAAAATGAAAATGAAATGCTATGGCTTTTTGCCATTTTCTCTTTTGAATAATAGCATAACCACCAGCCTTCATATCCCGGTGGAATTCTTCCTTCATTTACACACCATATGGAAGTTCCTCAAAATACTGTAATGTGAATGAAAGAGATATGCTAGCTGAAATAACATCCATCAGAGGGCTGCCAACCGGCAGTTAGTGGTGAATCATTTAAATTGAAAATTTGGCGATCTGCACGTAGAAGTGTAGGATCCCTGTTGAGTTTCTGTAGCTCCCTGAAGATGTCTCCTTTCCGCAGCTACTGCCATCATTTGCATTTTAATATCAGCATTTAGAGGTCAGCCGCCTGTATTTCAGGCACAGTTATAAATTGGAGTCCCTGCAGAAAATCTAAACCGGAGTATCTATAGGGGACCAGGTACAACTCTAGGTTCCCAGTGTTTCCTGATGCACAATACACACAAAGTGTCAGGAAAGGGGATGGATGATTTATGTAATGTCATTAGTTACTTCAACCTTTGCATACACTAACCTTTCCTTAATGACGTCACTAGTCTCTGTCCAAGCCCTAGATCACATAAATGACTAGTCCCTTATTTTTTTTTTTATTAATCTTAACATATGCTCCCAAGAAGCTACCTGCATCTTCATTATATTATTAACTCTTCTCTCTGGCCCATTACCTTACCCATCATTCATTATGATCCGCCAATGTCTTCTTGACAATGTTAACCACTGTTCTGGATGCTGAGAGTACAATAATAAGCATGATCAATGTGGGCTTAGTCTGCAAAGAGCTGGCTGTCTATTCTGAACTAATCTCTGAATCTCGTGGTATATTTAGCGGGTTTTGTTTAATAAATGTTAAATGAAAGAATTAATTGTACACTCTATACCACAGTGTTGGAACTGTGGGGGTACAATATAAACAAGGCAGTTTTAGACTTCAGGATGCTCATACTCTGTGGTGGGCACAGACAAGCACATAGATAATGCTAATGCTTGGCAGAGAGCATTATGTGTTGTAATGGAAGTATAAACACATTTCTGTGGGAGCAGGTAATGGCAAAAGATTAATTCTGGCTTGGGGGATGCTCTGCCCTTCTGTCACAGCAGGAAACAAATTATGGTGTCATCCACTGAGCATATCTGGAATCCATTTGCCAGAGGCATGAGGAATGAGTAGATCCAGAAAATAAATGAGAGTTGGGGGAATTTATTTCACTGCAATTCTTTTTCATTACAGCGTTATAGTATGTTATCCAATGGCATCTTCCAGATTGATAATCTCCATTCTAGAAAATATTTGAATCCCTTCCATAGAGCCTGCTTTTCTTTACTATTCTTCCCCAACTGGTAGGTGGAGAGGAAATAATGAGGACCATCTGAATGCATTTTGGTATTTAGCATAAAAACTAACACAAAGAACTAATAAGATTTTTAAAAAACACAGTTGTCAATTTCATTACTCTGTAGTCATGAGCTAGCTTGCTGAAAACAATATTCAATTATTCTTGTGGTTGTTCCCCCCGCCCCCCATATGAAAATAGCACTAACCCAAGAGTTTGGACACAAGGAGTATTGGGTCAGCTACTATCAAAGGTATGACTTTAGGAAAATTCTTTTCCTTCTATTGGCCTTATTTCCATCATCTATAAAATGAATTTATTAGACCAGATTAGGCAGTCCCAATCTCAGATGACTATAGGAGCCAGAGAGGTTAAAAATAGAAGCAGGTCAGCATTTGCCAGGTGGGAATGTGAAGCCAGTATTGTGACATCTGAGTTTGTCAGGAGTCTACAAAGCTGGATTCTGTATGTGAAATTTCCACAAAATAGCATTCAGGCCGAAGAGGAATAAAGGAGTTCAGCCCAAGGGCTTCCTTTTTGCAGCTTGTAACCTAGATACTTCCCCAAGTCTCTCACATCTCAGCTACCCTCTGATTCCACATTGTTAAGACGGTCTGATTTCCCTTTGTCTAACAGCTACTAAGCTTCGAAGTTCCGGTTCCCCAGATGAATGAAAGAGCATGTTTTGAATGCTACAAAATTAAATTGTCATCACAGATTGGAGGATTCAGTTTCTGCTCATCCTTGTGGGGCCTTCAATTTGATGAAACAATAGGAAAATTAGGGTTGAATGGTCAGTGTTCTAAATTAGAAGTCCAGTTTTGAAGAAACAGAGAAAACAACCTTCCCTCCCTCTCCTTTTCCTCAGTGCAGGCTGCTGTGCGGCAGATCCGGCCCGAGAGCAGTTGGCAGGTGTGAGTTGGCACACATCCTCCTGCCTCCACTGGCCCGGCCCATAGCGGACGCTAAAAACTAACCCTTACCAGAGGAAATACTGCTGGATGAAGTCCAGCTCTTTCAGGCATTCGCATGCCAAGCCAATAACATGTCCTCTCTTTCCTACTTATTGAATAAGAAAAGAAATCTGGAGAAAATGAGCCCTTTTATGACAGACACGTGAGACTTTAAAATCTGCCTAATAAGGTAAAACTCTTTATACCCTCACAAGCTTCAATCACTGAGCCTCTGTCTGGCCTTACATGCTAAGGTTTTTGAAGAAAGAGATACTACACTGAGTGGCCAGATTATTATGATCTCTGAACGCATAATAATCTGGCCACTCAGTATATATATAGATATATTAGAGGCCCAGTGCATGAATTCGTGCATGGGTGGGATCTGGCCAGCCTGGCCAGGGGGAGGGGACATGGGCGGTTGGCTGGCCTGCCCTCTGGTCAAACTCCTGGTCAAGGGGACAATTTGCATATTAGCCTTTTATTATACAGTGGTGCCTCGCATAAAGAACGCCTCGCACAGCGAACGCTGCACACAACGAACTTCATTTCATGATTCATACAACGAACTTCGTTTCACACAACGAAGTTGCCCGAGCTTCCACGACCGCTTTGCCCGAGCTTCCACAACTGCTTCGCCCGAGCTTCCACGATCACTGCCAAAGTATTGCATCCTTCCGCGCAGGCACTGCAGGCAGTCGTTAGTCACTGCGCTTAACTTAAGCACGTATCGCGGCAATCGTTCTTCATTACGAATTAAATCACGCACGTATCACGGCAGTCGTCCTTTTAAGTTAAACTCAATATTTTTTTTATATAATTTTTTTTTAAAAAAAATTATGTTTTTAGATGTATCTAAATAAAAATAATAACAAAAAATTTATCTTTTTTTATGTCATCTTAGCGTATTTTATGCTACAGAACGAATTATTTTTTTTAACATGTATTGTTA